TTTCGAATTAAACATGGCGGCTGTAGATGTTAGAATTCTGAAAACAAAAAAATAAGAATTTTAAATGTGAAGATTACTAAGTCAGGAAACAATTAGAAATTATCGCGCCTAGATTTTAAAGTAATATATATATATATATAGAACTAAACCCAACCCTCATCATAGACATATGTCTAAGCCCACCTAACCCTAGTTCTAGCCCTTACCCTAATCTTTAGGGTAAGGTTCTTCTGGGGGGGGGGGTAATTGACAGGGGGTAATAAATCCGGGGTAATGTCCTTCTTCAGTCAAACTGTAGTTTCCTATCAATCTTTGAACGACTTTTTGTAATCGGAAGTTGTACTTACTCAAACTCTGGTTTCTCAAAGGCTAATAACTTAATAACTGTTTTAGTTAAGTGAACGAAGTTTCAAATTTAATTAGATCATTGTATGCGTAAATATCTAACGAATTGTGAAATCATTATAGTAAGAGAAAGTGATATTTTACTCAATTGAATTGGGAACAAGATAACTTGAAAGTTGTTTTAGCTATTTCTACTTTACTACAAACACAGTTTGAGTTCATTTAGTACGCAATTTTTTTTTCTATGACGTTCACTTAAATATAAAAAAAAAATGTTGCGGTTTGCGAAAAATTTCTATATTTCTATATCCTGGTTGCACTGAAAGTAACTTTCCTTCTACTGTTATAGAAAAATGCAAGACATTTTCGGAGAGATCACAACCGTTTTTTCTTGGATATGCATTTATAAATTCAATACTATTTCGTGTTAGGTCCATTTTTATTAATTTTAGAATACCATTGATATAAAAATTGTAAGTCCATGCTTAACGACACACATTTTTACTCAATTTCTATTAACAAAATGATTTATTTATTTCTGTGAAAAATTATACTATTTTACACCTGTACCTTGTTTATACAAAGTTCAAAAACAAGTTAAATTAAGTATACAGGTGATATTAGTTTTTAGTTTGCCGCCATTGATAACAAAATAGTCACGTTCAACTGTGATTGCACTAAAACAAAGAACGCTGAATAGGAAATCCCCGATGATAGAGAATTATTAGATTAAGACCTTCTTATTAAAACACAGCTCAAAGTGTGTAGAACGTAGAATACGTGCTCACATTGTCGTGTATACAAACGGGTCTACAATGACTCAATGACAACATTTTTTGCTAACTTGGTACAATTTATTTACTGTATGGTAAGCAAAATGCGACGGCGTGGATCAGCGGTTGTGACCTGAATCACAAATCAACCTTCAAACCTGATTTATTGATAACATTTGCATTTTAAAACACTAAGATAGAACCACACTTACACAGATGGATAAATCCTACACATCTTTCTTAAGGACAATCGTGTAACAGTAGGTGGCATTTGTTTGGGAACCACTGCTATATAGGGTTTAGTCAAACACTACTGCTCTATAGATTGGAGTCAAACACTACTGCTCTATAGATTGGAGTCAAACACTACTGCTCAATATAGTGGAGTCAAACACTACTGCTCAATAGAGTGGAGTCAAACACTACTGCTCTATATGGTGAAGTCAAACACTACTGCTCTATAGAGTGGAGTCAAACTCTACTGCTCTATAGGATTTATTCAAACACTACTGCTCTATAGAGTGAAGTCAAACACTACTGCTCTATAGAGTGGAGTCAAACACTACTGCTCTATAGATTGGAGTCAAACACTACTGCCCTATAGGATTTATTCAAACACTACTGCTTATAGAGTGAAGTAAAACTATACTGCTCTATAAGGTTTACTTAAACACTACTGCTCTATAGAGTGGTCAAACTACTGCTCTGTAGGTTTTACTCAAACTATACTGCTTTTTAAGGGTTTACTCAAACTGTACTTCTCAATATGGTTTACTCAAACTATACTGCTCTATTTAGGGGAGTCAAACACTACTGCTCTGTAGGGTTTACTCAAACTATACTGCTCTATAGGGTTTACTCAAACTATACATTATCCTTTCATAAGCTGAGCTTCAGATAAACACTATCATCTCTCCCGTGAGTCTTGGGCACGAACTGGAAAAGATGATGATAGTACTTAAAACTAAATGTAGGAGAATAAGAATAAAAAAAAAACAAGTTCCTTCGGTCCCCACAAAAGAATTAAACTTCACAGTTGCAATGCAGGAACCCGTGAAACTAGAACAATAGACACGTAATAGTTCACTGATAGTACAAGACACTGCCCATCTCTATACTTGTGGTAGTGAACGACGAATCGTCGTAAGGTCGAAACACTATAGCTTTATGTGGTTGAGTATAACAAAACACTCTTAAGTTCTGAGGTTGTTTTTTTTTTTTTAAATGAACATTTTAAAACAGAAACCCAAATATCCAATCCTCAAACATAGCAAAATGTTTATCCAAGAAGAGGGTAATAATTTTAAATTTAGCTTTCCTAAATAACTTGAGGCGTAGACACATTTTTCCGTTGAAATATTATTTAGATGTCTCGAGCTTTTTGGATCAATATTGTAGACTAAGATTTAGTAGACTAAGATGTGTTGTGTGCTGTATATACCTACTGCTGTTACTTTATTGGTAAATGTATGTGACCCTTACGTATCCGTCGCTAGGAATTCGTCAGCCTGACAGAATAATTTGTGGCGTTGCAAATTGTAATTTCATGAGGCCTAAAAAAAATCTTCAGTTGCTTATTACGAACACGTTTTGAAGTTTTAAGAATTAAATTAGGAAAATGCCTTGTTTTACTTTCTCGAATATACGAAGAATAGAGAAAGTCCTGTAATCGTGCAAAAGAAAATCATGATTTTTACAAATCTCGACGTTTTACACCTCAGTGATACGGAAAAACATAATTTTGCAATCTTGTCCGTATGCCTCTGTGTGTGTATGTGTGTCTCTCTCTCTCTCTGTGTGTGTGTGTGTGTGTGTGTGTCTGTAAACACGATAACTTGAGTACCGTTACAGCTAGGTTGAGGAAATATCATATATAAGTATTTTATCAAAGTCGTATATCAGTTTCAACTTTATAGCGATTTCCGATAACCGGATATATATATATATATATATATATATATATATATATATATATATATATATATATATATATATATATATATATATATATATATATATATATATATATGTATATATATATAGCCTATTTATAAAATATATCATGTCCAGTTGGTGGTGCTTATTCTACTTCCGGTTTTGAACCACATACTTATAAAGTGCAGCCTGTTATTTCTTAAATCTATATTTCCATTGGTCAATGCAACTGTGTAATCCTAATTTACTTTTATATATGTATGTGCGAGAAAATTTAGGAGAGATCACTCGCGCTTTGTTTTACATCTACAGATGTATGTGCGTTTGTTGTAGATGTTTTGACACAACGGGCATGTAAAGTCTATGTAATAAAATTATTTTTTTTAAACATATTTATAAAAATATGGCAAGCGATAAGATTATAGTTACATTTGTAAAAATTAAAGCCGTATTAATAAGACAGTTAATATTTATTCGTGTGTATCAAAGGGTTCTTAAGGGAAAATATTTGGAACAGAAATGATCACACAGTAAATTGATAGAGGAAACAGCCCTTGGTATCTTAATATGAAAAATATATAAAAATTGTGTTTTTCATCCCTAGACGCAAGCAAAACATATTCAAATGTTGCTGAAAAATAATGGCTACAAAAGTCCAACTGTTTTGGTTGCTGCCAAAACAAAAATTAAAATAAATTTAAAAAAATAAACAAAAATTTTTACAATCCACAAAATTAAACCAGAAAAGTACTTTCTTTCAGAAGTTTTCAACAAAACAAAATCTCTTAATTTCCAAAAAAAGAAAATACTCTAAGTACGATTGGGAAATAACATTCAAAAAACATAACCAATCATCAAGGAGCAATACCTCAGTTACAGGGAATAAAACAGTCATTTAAGATAAGGCTTTGTTTAGCTGGAAATCAATGGGATCTTGTTTATTATGCGCTAATGTATCGTTTAGACAATCACACTCTATAATTTTAAAACTACAAGTCGAAATAATAATAATTAACAGTCCAATTCATGCATTTGCATTATTAAATTTACCAGACAACCTTGTTTTTCTAAAAGCCGGTGTTAGTTAATAAAATAATTTTCTTTGGATTTAATGCATGTATAAATTGAACGCATTTATTTCATATACATTTGTTAGATTTTTTGCGGCATTGACCTACATGGATTGAAATATATTTGGTGAAAATAAATTTACATTCATTTTTCGGCTGGATAAAATTAAAAATTTTATTTCTTGTATAACTTTATAGCATTCTAAATGAAAAAGGCAAAGAACAATAAAAACGTGTAATATGTTTATGCAATGTTGCTTACTGAATCCAGAATGTTTTATTAAGTCATCACAAAGCACACTCTTCAACAAATTTTTAATTTTTTTTACTACGGACTAAAAACAATATGTATATGGCTAATATAGAAATCGAAAAAGAAATATATTTATAAATATATATATATATATATATATATATATATATATATATATATATATATATATATATATATATATATTATATCACATTATTGTTTCTCTCCAAAGCTAAGATACATGAAACGTTATCTGATGGTCTCTACAAACATATTTGAGATATAAAGTCTCATAATAATACACATTTTTACAGTGTGAATGTTTGATGTCATGATTTTCATTTACTCAAGCATAGATTAGATGAGGTATATAACACATGAATTTGCTCATTTCTACGTCAATCAAGTTTTGCTTTATATCTATCAATTATCTAATTTCAGAATTTCACATAAGGTTTTATATTTTTGAAAATTATAAACAAACAAAAATTAAAGTATTCATTGACACAGTATTTATATTGTTAGAAAGTCGATAATTTACGGGTGTAAATAATATGTTTTAACACTTCAGCTTTCAGACAATCTTGTATAAAGCATTTAATGAAATAAAATAAATAACCACAACGCATAGAGCTGAAATGTGTTGAAATTAAACATATAATTTCTGCATGCACATTTACTTCGTGTGTCCAGGTAAAGAACGAAGGACAGCATGACAATCATTATTAATTGTGTTAATTGTTTATGTGGCGGTAGCTCTAAGCGGAGCCATTTATCAACACTCACAAGTGACGGAATCAGACTTTACCAAGCCTGTATATACATAATCAAGCATTGAAAATCTATATATTAAACCATCAAGATTTTTTTCAATCAATTAAAGCATTTTATCCAATCGAATGATTTTTAAGTAGAATGAAGTCTAATTCAAAACTTTGGTGAGGCAAAGAAATTTTGTTGGCCCTTGTTGATGTTTGCTACAGTATCGAGACATTCAATATTTAAAAAAAAATAATACAATGTACTAGTACTTAGTACTAGGGTTACTTTTTTTTGTTAACAACCTGAGAATAACAAAAGGGTAAACAAGAAGGCTGCGAATAAAAGAATTAAAATATATTGAAACTTAAGAGGAATGTCAAAGTATAGCGAGACACGATTCACCGGGTTTTCTTTGTTCGCAGAAACTTTCCTCGCCGGTGGGGGAGGTGTCTTGATGGCAGTGGCTGTTCTGTAATTTTTAAACAGAGCAGGTTTTGTGAATTCTAGCCTGGAAGCGGCCTGTTTGTTCACCAGTGTGATGGCGTCTTTATTGTCTATTACAAATGTGTTGTTCAAAAGGTTGGACAGGCACGCGGTGCTGATGTCTTTGAGTGAAATAGCTGAAAACAGCTGACCAAGGTACAACCTACGAAGTGACATTTTCTCATCTTCTTCTGTTCCAACGTCCACCTTCTTACAAAGTGCATTATGAAGTCCAATGTCCACACGCAATAAACCGATACATTTTTCTGGCTCAGGTGTGAGGTACGAGTCATCCGAATACGCCCATTTTAAAACTGAATTTACGACAAAATCTCCGACAATACGAAAGTGTTTTAAAAGGTCTTTGAACTCTTCGAAAGGAATTTCCATGAAGTCGTCGGATCCTACAACATTTGGATAATTGTTCACGATTAACTTTTTTACTTTGGTTAATACACCAAACGAATTTAAAAGCTTTGCTGCTTCATAAATGCTCCAGTAGTTTTGCAACGTTATGTTTTCATTTACGAATTTCTGACAAGACGAAACTAAAAATTCAATCTGCAGTTGATTTGATGCATGCCACATTTCAACCATGTTTTCTTCATCTAAAACATCAGTTCCTTTGTAAATAACATCTAGTATAAGACCAAATATTTCTGGAGAGATGCCTTCTATGGTACAGCTTGATTCATATTTTTCTCTCATATCTGTCCTCAAGAGAGCCTCAAAGAAACCAGAGCAGGAACTTAAGACAAACCTGTGACAACTGAACTGGAAGTCGCCAACGTTGACTGTAAAGTCAGTAAATATGTCCATGTTTTTTTCAAAACATTTGAAGATTTCTTTTCCCATTTGCGCGTCGTAATTGTGAGCGGTGGATATACTTTTATACATGGCGGTTGTAGATGATGTTTTATTTTTTCTGCAAAAATTTTAATTTTTAAATTTAAAGTTTTAAATTTTCATTTTGGTCTCCTCTTACGTTATTGGCACAAACGTAAAAATTTTACAACAACATTAAACATAATTTCTGTAAGAATATATATATATATATATATATATATATATATATATATATATGCTATCGGAAATATGGATCATAAATTGGAGAACCTGTAAATTCGAAATCAAAACCTGGACTTAAATGGACTTTATATGTCTGTTAACAAAGCAGAATTAAAATAATAGAACTAGATTTTGTAACTAAAACAAAATGAATGACAAAAAAATCAGCTTTATTTACGTCCCACCGCAATAATTAAAAAAAACTGGCCTTAACTAGGTAATGTATGAATTTTGTATAAGAAATACATATTTACAAATAAAAACGTTGGGCCAATATAACTTTGAAAGGGGTTCCTTGGTAAGAAAAAGTTAATCAAAGTTTACCTTACATATGTCATTCGTTGAGTAAAATATGTGTATTTCTGTAAGTTAATTAAAGCTAACACATTCTTAAGATTTTAGATTTGCACATTTATCAAAATTAATATTTAAAATGGCAAATTATTATTTTTCATTTATTCTGTTTAAATTTAAATTATTTATAAATTGGAGATCTAGATCTAGATCTAGATTTATGGCTAATCAGAAAAATTTATATTCTTTACGTCTAGGTCTAAATCATTAAGCCGTCTTGAGATTGGTCATCGTATTGTAAAAGTCATGTTTTATTATGTAAGCTGAAAAATACTCACAGTTTACTTTGTTTTATTAGCAACAATTACTTAAACAATGCTGAATAGTTACAAAAATTGTATAGGACAGTAAAGGTTTATCTAACTTATTTCTTAGTAGCCAGACATAAAACAAACATTTTCATTTCCGATTGCACCAAATTTTAATGTGCGGCGCCGGGAATACCCGAATATTTTGCATACTATTACTTTAATAATTAATTAAAAAAAACATCGTGTCAAGCATTGTTATTTTATTCTACTTTATTGTATGCGAAGTATAGATAATGTATTTGAAACGTATAAAAACATCGAAATCAAATTGTCTAAAAAATCTAGGGGCTGCACATCTGAGTCTTAGAAATGTAGTGTGTCGTTTTTACATCTTTCTGTAATTATACATTTGAAAAAAAAAAACTTGACGGCCTATTTGTTAAGGTTAATGAAATGCCGTATATATATATACTAGCTGCATCCCGTGCTCCGCCACGGTAAATCTTTTTTAAATGTACCAACTTGGGAACAGAACAGAACAAAACTAAACACAACACAAACGAACGCAAAAAAAAAAAAAAACAAAAAAAAACGAAAAAACAAACATAACACTCATAACATAAACACAATTTAAATGTAATCATTAAGGCATATTGCTCACAGTCTAGCCCGTAGCGCCAAATTGCGCCCTTGCCGGTGATTTGCACCCCCTCAAACTTTCGATTTGCACCCCTTCCCCACCCCCCCCCCGCCCTAAAACTTTCGATTTCCACCACACCCCCCCCCCCCCTCGCAAATTTTTTCCACCCTACTTTGGCGCCCCCTAAGTTCGGCACCCGGGGACATATGCCCCCCCCCCCTCCATACGCCTCTCCTATAAAACCCGAAAGATAGAATAATAATTAGAAAACAGTATAAATAATAGTCAGTATCTATAATATATACAATATTTCACTTTATCCATTCACGCAATTTATTTCCAGCACTTTAAATTTTAAAAATTTACAATAGAGTTTCATAACTAAAACCATTGCGCACCTGATGAACGTGATGACGCGTCTATAATAGTGCTGAATAGTTGATTCAAAATTATAAGTAATAAACAGTAGGGCCTACATTTAGTGAATAAAATAAATAAAAGATTGCCTTTTATCAATCCATGCTAATTATAATTTTCTAACAATAATTTACTCTTACACATCCGGATAATTTGCATTCACATTTTGCTAATAATATTATTGCAACACTAATTCCTTCTATGACGACCGTATATTTGCATTCACATTTTTTATTAGCGTGAGTTTAATGTATTTTTAAATTACCTCTTTTGTCAAAATTAGAAAAAAAGAGTTATATTAATTTGATTTTTCTACCGTACTGTTATTATGTTATTGAAATGTATCCATTTTTTTCTGGAAATATAAACGAAAATGATATTTGACATTGATACTTTTAATAGGTTTTAGCCGTGTGTGTATATTTAATATTTTCTTTAAGTTATGCAAAATTGTACAAACAGTGGAAATTATAAAATAGCTCTATGCCGCTATATAAACAAACCCTACTCTAATACTTATAATAAGACACTGCGGTGCACTGAAAAGCACAGCATGGTGCGTAGTTTACTTTTATAGTCCCAAAATCTATAGCGATGACGGAAGGACTGACACACTACCTAGCCGCTTATATATATACTAGCTGCATCCCGTGCTCCGCCACGGTAAATCTTTTTTAAATGTACCAACAGAACAAAACTAAACACAACACAAACGAACGCAAAAAAAAAAAAAAAAAAAAAAAAAAAACGAAAAAACAAACACAACACTCATAACATAAACACAATTTGATTGCAATCATAAAGGTATATTGCTCACAGTCTAGCCCGTAGCGCCAAATCGCGCCCTTTCCGGTGATTTGCACCCCCCTCAAACTTTCGATTTGCACCCCTTCCCCCCCCCCCCCGCCCTAAATCTTTCGATTTCCACCACTCCCCTCCCCCCTCGCAAATTTTTTCCAACCCACTTTGGCGCCCCCTAAGGTCGGCACCCGGGGACATATGCCCCCCCCCCCCTCGCTACGCCTCTCCTATAAAACACGAAAGATAGAATAATAATTAGAAAACAGTATAAATAATAGGCAGTATCCATAATATATACAATATTTCACTTTATCCATTCACGCATTTTTTTTCCAGTACTTTAAATTTTAAAAATTTACAATAGAGTTTCATAACTAAAACCATTGCGCACCTAATGAACGTGATGACGCGCCTATAATAGTGCTGAATAGTTGATTAAAAATTATAAGTAATAAACAGTAGGGCCTTCATTCAGTGAATAAAATAAATAAAAGATTGCCTTTTATCAATCCATGCTAATTATAATTTTCTAACAATAATTTACTCTTACACATCCGGATAATTTGCATTCACATTTTGCTAATTATATTATTGCAACACTAATTCCTTCTATGACGACCGTATATTTGCATTCACATTTTTTATTAGCGTGAGTTTAATGTATTTTTAAATTACCTCTTTTGTCAAAATTAGAAAAAAAGAGTTATATTAATTTGATTTTTCTACCGTACTGTTATTATGTTATTGAAATGTATCCATTTTTTTCTGGGAATATAAACGAAAATGATATTTGACATTGATACTTTTAATATGTTTTAGCCGTGTGTGTATATTTAATATTTTCTTTAAGTTATGCAAAATTGTACAAACAGTGGAAATTATAAAATAGCTCTATGCCGCTATATAAACAAACCCTACTCAAATACTTATAATAAGACACTGCGGTGCACTGAAAAGCACAGCATGGTGCCAATGTTTACTTTTATAGTCCCAAAATCTATAGCGATGACGGAAGGACTGACACACTACCTAGCCGCTTATATTATAGATATATATATATATATATATATATATATATATATATATATATATATATATATATATATATATATATATATATTTATTTATTTATTTATTTATTTATTTATTTATTTATGTATTTATTTACTTATTTATTTATTTATTTATTTACACTTATATATATATATATATATATATATATATATATATATATATATATATATATATATATATATATATATATATATTTATGTATATAAATAAATATATATACATATATATATATACATTTATATATATATATATATATATATATATATATATATATATATATATATATATATATATATATATATATATATATATATATAAATATAAATATAAATATAAATATATATATATATATATATATATATATATATATATATATATATATATATATATAGGTGCATATATATGTATATATATATATATATATATATATATATATATAGGTGCATATATATGTATATATATATATATATATATATATATATATATATATATATATATATATATATATATATATATAGGTGCATATATATGTATGTATATATATATATATATAATATATATATATATATATATATATATATATATATTTATATATATATATATATATATATATATATATATATATATATATATATATATATATATATATATATATATATATATATATATATATATATATATATATATATATATATATATATATATATATATATATATATTTATGTATATATATAAATATATATACATATATATATATACATTTATATATATATATATATATATATATATATTTATATATATATATGTATGTATATATTGTGTCTTGTTTGTGATATCTACTCTACCCTCCGGTTTTACACCATTTTTTCATAAAGTGTAGCCTATGTTACTTCTAGAATCTATATTTCTATCTGTCCATGCTACTGGAAATGTCATCCAAATTTACTGTTACATAAGAATGAACGAGAAAGTTCAAGGGGAGTTTACTCCCGTTTTGTTTAACTCTCACCTATGTTTTGTGTTTATAGTAGATGTTCTGACACAATTGTCCCAAACTTTCTAGTTTCCCATGATATCACAGAAACACTATTTATATTTATTAAACTAATTATATATTCAATGAATCATAAATATAAAAACAAATACACTGAATTTTAAAAAAAAAAAACGATATTGTTACCTTGGAATAGCATGGTTGGATGTTTGAGCTTGTGACTTCTAACTCTAATTATTTGAGTTTGTATTCCGGCTTAAGTCCTCAGATTTTCAAGTTCCAATCAGTACTTCATTCGCGTTAGGCAAAGTAAAGGAGATGGGTAATAGTGCTAAACGATTTATCTCTTTAAATGCCGGTGTAAACGAAGCGCGTAAACTCTACTTCCGCTGTCCGGCAGAACGTCCAGTTTGAAAGAGTAACTTTACTTTTTACCATACTAGTGTTACAATAATGCATACTATCACTTGCGGAACTAGAAACACCTCCCCCCCCCCCCCCCCCCCCCCCCAAACACACACACACACCTCTTCTCCTGAAGGAAACACGACGACGAATACAATCAGTACAACTACACAAAAACATTCTCTCCTTTTGTAAATGGTAAATATGCATATAATGCCCTCAAGGCTGCTAAACCGAAAAGTCTCGAGTTCGAACCCTCAGGTAGATGAGGCTCGTTAGCTGGGGACAGCCACTCTTCTAGGAGAGACAACTCCAAAATCAAACAACTGCTGCCTTGTAGTTTGTTCTTGGTTGGACAAAGGCTATGGAAGCAAATCCAAAAAGAAAAGCAGGCTGAAATCGCAGTCAATGGCCTCAATGGCCTCAGTTGACATGTATCCTTAAGTGTGTTGGAGGGGACCCCTTCCAACACTAAAATAAAGAACGAAGAAGAAGAAGAAGCCCTTTGGAAAATGTTCACATTTTCAAAATAAGAAAATCTATTAGCATTAGATTTGTTGGCTTATAAGCACTATATATCATTTCAAACTAACATAAAATTAATTAAAGTAAGGTATCAAAAACTATTTTCCTTAAATCTTTATTATAATGATCACATTTTTATCTGCAAGTTATCATTTAATTAGTAAAATAACACACTTATAAAAAAAATATCAAAATTTTGGACCAAGACTGCATAGTCCCAAAATACATGTTTTCGTTGATCATCCTGCTGGACATAGGCGTACTTTTCAGTGC